CAAGGATGTTGCCGGGGTTGGAGGGTTTGAGCTATAGGGAGAGGCTGAATAGACTGGGATTATTTTCCCTCGAATGTTTGAAGCTGAGGGGTGATCTTATAGAAATTTATAAAATCATGAGGGGCATGGATAGGGTAAATAGACAAGGTCTTTTTCCTGGGGTGGAGGAGTCAAAAATTAGAGGCCATAGGTTTAAGGTGAGAGGGGAAAGGTTTAAAAGGGACCTAAGGGGCAAAGTTTTCAAGCAGAGGGTGGTGCATGTATGGAATGAGCTGCTAAAGGAAGTGGTGGAGGCTGGTATAATTAGAACATTTAAAAGGCATCTGGATGGGTATATGAATAGGAAGTGTTTAGAAGGATATGGGCCAAACACTGGCAAATGGGAGTAGTTTTATCCAGGAATCTGGTCAGCATGCACGAGTTGGACTGAAGGGTCTGTTTCTGTGCTGTACATCTGCATGACTCTATGAAAATTTCAGGGAGTCTCTCACACCCAACTTCACTCCATCAAGCTTGGACCCGAGCCTTTTACTGCAATCAGTGGTAACTGAACCAGCTGCTTTCCCTAAGATGCTGGAACCAAGGTTGTACCCTTAATCTCTAAAAATTCCCTGGTATAGTTTCTCAGGCTAGCTATGGTCTTGCACGAAGTTAAGGGCTGGAGTCCAGAGAGAATTTTATAAAAAACTTGTTCTGCGATCACTGATACTACTGCACTGGTATTGACCTCCATTAGAACCGAATGACTATTTAACCAGATGTTTCGCCCAATCAAGCTTGGGCCCAAGCCTTTTACTATAATCACTGGTAACTAAACCTGCTAGTTTTCATTAAAGACCAGAACCAAAGTTGTACTCTTAATCTGTAAAGGTTCCTTGGTATAGGTTTTCAGCCTAGCTGAGGTCTTGCACAAACTTAAGGGTTGGAGTCCAGGCAAATTTTGTTAAAAACTGGTTTTTTGATCACTGATATGGTTGCACCGTTATTAACCTCCATTAGGACCAGATGACCACTTAACCAGATGTTTATCTTGATTGGTTCTGATTTGGATGTTGCTAAGCAATTTAACTGTTCCAATCCAGATGTAGGTGGACATTCCAGGATGTGCACTCTCCTGGATACCGGTCTATGAGTTATCTTATTCAATTTAGGTCTAGTAGGATTCTTTTGCTGTCTTGAGTCTGCATACCAGCAGCACCTACAGTGGCTTGTTGGCCAGGATGCTGAAGACAGTTTTAACCAATTAGCTAAGGCTTGGCTTTGTTTTGGTGTTTTGGTGTGGGCTGACCTAGCATCCCTCTGTTCAGGATATGACCTGAGTGACGCTATGCAATTGCCTGCACTCAAGTGGTGTTCCCCAAGCTCATTCAGACTGGCAAGTGTCTATTTCCATCGGAATACCCTACAACTCATCTGCTCCACTTGCCGCATTTTCCAAAGATAAAGCCAATTGTGTCTGTTTGAAGACCAGTTGGGCTTCAGCTAGTCAGCATTTTTGCATAATTACATCATTAATTCCATATACCAGACAGTCTCTAAGCATCTCATTAAGGCTTAAACCAAAGTCACAGCCTTCTGCCAGTTGTCTTAACCTAGTCAGAAATCCAGATTATGGATTTCCCTTAGCCTCGATTTATGTCCATCAATTCTTGAAGGTTTTATTATCTTGTTGAGGTTGGTTGGTTCGCCGAGCTGGTTTGTTGTTCCACTGATGTTTCGTTACCGTGCTTGGTAACACCCTCAGTGCAGCCTCTGATGAAGTGTCGATGTGTTTTCCCGCCTGGTTTTTAAACTCTGGGGTCCATTGCGATGGATTGCCTCACTTCCAGGTTTCCTCCGTAGTGGAATGTATATGGGGTCGAATTGTAGAATTGACCTCGTGAACATGTTAATTTTGTCCTCCGTGATTACACTATTAAATTACAAATGAGGAAGAATAGAATCCAAACCAATCAATAAGTTGAAATAAAACATTCACATGCTTAACACAAAGAAATTAAAACTGCTGACATAGATTGAAGACATGGGATATTCAAATCCAGGCAAATATCTTCAGAAAAGGAATCATATGACCAACCGTTCAAAATTCTGCAGGGAATAAACTGCTTGTAATAGTAATTCTTAAGCACAGCAACTTGATCTGTGCTTTCTGTCAACCTGAACCTAAAAGAATGTAAATTGGGGAAATTCATTTTTTAAAATCTTTACCTTTTGAAATGAAAAAATGCTATTAATAGAATCACTGTTAGTTGTCAAAAAAAGATCCATCTGATTCATGAATATCCTGAAGGGAAGGAGGTCTGCCATCTTTACCTTGTCTGGCCTACATGTGACTCCAGGACCACAGCAATGTGGTTGACTTTTAACTGCCGTCTGGGCAATTATTGTTCGTCAATAAATACCGACCTATCCAGTGCTGCCTGCATCCCTTGAACAAATTTTAAAAATAATCTTATTGAAACATAAACTTCTTAGGGGGCTGGACACATTAGATGCAGGGAAGTTGTTTTCTCCTTGTGGGAGAGTCTATGACCGGGGGCACAATCTCAGACCAAGGAGTCACTCATTTAAGACACAAATGAGGAAGATTTCTTTTGAGAGTGGTGAAACTGTGGAATTCTTTGTGGCAAAGGGCTGTCAAGTGTGGTTGATTAAATATATTCAAGGCTGAGATAGATTTTTAATCTATAAGAGAATCAAAGATAATATAAAACAAAGAACTGCAGATGCTAGAGATCTGCAGCAAACAAAAACAGATATTGTTGGAGAAACTCAACAGGTTTGGCAGCATGTGTTGAGAAAACAGCATTAATGTTTGAGTCCTTCTTCAGACAAAGGTTACTGGACTTCGAAACATTAACACTGTTTTTTCTTCACAAGTGCTGCCAGACCTTCTGCATTTCTCCACAGAATCAAGGGTTATGGGGAAAAGCTAGGAATGTGGAGTTGAAGATTATCAAATCAGCCATGACCTCATTGAATGGCAGAATGGATTCAATAGGCCAAAGGAGCTACTTTTGCTCCTATAATTTATGATCTTACAGCCAGGTACCCTGTCAGCTGCAATGATGTTTATAACCTTGAGAACTCTCATGTTTCTGCTTTGTTTCAAGGGTCAGATGCCTTACAAGGACCATTTCATTTTACCTTCTTTGATCTTTGCTGATGACTTCATTATGCAACCCCCGACAAGCTGAGCATAGGTACTACACAATCCGTTTTTCAACAAGGGCTATTATGGAGCAGAAGATTGTTCTGTTGAATATGAGGTTCTGATGCTTGGATCAATCTGGAGAGTGCCTTGCAATGCACTCAAGACAGTGTGCTGCACAATCCTAGCATGCTGAGTTCTGCTCAACTGGAATAGACAACAAAGGGTTGAGGTGGCCTCTGAAGAGCTGGGAGAGTAGCAGCAGTCTTCCAAGGAACTTGAGGAGATTCAGCAGGAGGAGCATCACCTTCTGCGTGCTAGAACAGTGCAGCATGAAACACAACAGCCAGACAGGACTTAATTGACACCTGGTTCCAGTAGATCTGAGCCAGATGTAGTGATCACTCATTAATTATAAATGTGTTGGTGTTTGAAAGGCAAGGGCAATGCCTAACAGATAGATGCATCTTCGGTCTGTCTATTTGTTCTCTTTTGTTGTTGCTGCAAAGTAAATGCTTTGAACTGTTTGAAGGCTTTCCTGTATGTAATAGTCCCACATTGAACAATAAAAGGTGTTTGCCTGTACTGGGCATTGGGAGAAGGGATGTAAGAAGGGATGATGCTAAGGTTGGGTAGGTTGTGTAGCTTGATTCTTAAATAGCATAGCTGTGCAAATATGCACTTGTGTATGAAGTGAAGTGTCAGTCGTGCCACTTGTGTGCCTTGAAAAGCATCTGTGTTTCGTTGCTTTCTCACTACATGCCCTTTGAAGTCCATCTCAGGACTGACAGTGCTTGACCGAGTATGTGGCTAGACTTTAAATGGTATTGGTGCCAGAGATCTTTTTTCTGGAAAGTCCTAGCAGTGACATATACTTTTGCATGTAGTGAGAAGGAAAATACAACAAATAACACACCTATGCACTATGCCCCCATGGTGATGAGACAAATTTGGGAAGATAGCATGAGAAATCTCATTAGACCTCTTGGAAAGAAACCCTCCATGAAACTGCAAAATATGACACTTTGGCTAATTTCTGGTAACATTGAGCTCATATTTATAGAGATTTTGAGGAAATCCAAATGTCAGGTCTCACTGTATCGCAATCCTGAGCTCTTTTGCCCACAAGTCCATATGATACTATCATTGTTGATGTTGTTAATGGCACTCCTCAGTGTGAAGCCTTTTAGACCCTTATTCCAATTAGGTGACAAATTTAGCTTCTACCTTGTGTCCCACCTCTCGTTGTTGATGCCTTGCCTGCCGACTGGCTGGTGGGAGATTGATTTGCAAACAGATTGCTCCCTGAGCAGAATTCACATTAAGTAGGCTTTGCATCTGCTTAGTGTTTCTTCTCTGCAACACCCACGATGCACAAAATTGCAGCAATAAACTCCCTCCAGTTGCGGCAGTGTTATTTTTTTTGTTGAGTTCAACCAGTAGCACTGTACAAGGATTACTTTTGAGTATTTTTCATACTTGTGATTTTTGTGTGCCATTACATTCACTCAATAAACTATTAGAAATGCTAGAGGCCACACTTCTGAGCCTGTTAGCTTTTAATGTGACTAATCTAAACATGTTAAAATTTTGGAGTGACTGTAAGTATGTTTGGTAATGCCAACCTCCTTGAGTCATGGTGTCACTTCAGGAAATAAATGTGTAAGGATGCATTTTGAATGTATTGATACAAAATAAATTTGTCCTATTGTATCTGTGGAGTGCAACAAAACAGTAGTGTGGTGTTGAGATGGATGCCAGGCAATACCTATTTTTTTTCATTGCAGCATTCATAATTATTGGATTGATGCAATTGTTTCTTTAACTGTACTTTTTTAAAATGTATTAGCAAACAGAGACCCAATTGCAAAGATCCTGGGGCCAAGCTTTGCTACTGTGGAAGGAGAGGACAAATCTATGCTTCGTTTACTAGAAAAAGTGAAGAAAGGCGATGAAGAACCTGAGGCTGAAGCTCAGATGAAGTTGCTTCTGCTTCTGCAGCAGCTAGACATGCAACTTCTAAATACTTCTTTACAGAAAATTTCACAGTAAGTGTTGTTCATAAAAAGATCATTGTTGCAAATGTGACAGTTTAGAGATAAAATGGAATCTTCTGCTCTTGCTGGTAGTGAGCTTGGAGCTGGGAAGACATGTAATTAGTTGGGATGGTGACATACCTGAACTCGCTACATTCCTGCCTCCACCAAGAAAGTGTACAGTCAATTAATTAATGATCGCTTGATAGCCTCATACTGTCACTACTGGTATTAGCCCAGTGGCAGGTGGGCCTGTCACTGTGCAATTTGCAAGGTGTTGAAAACTGCAGCCAACTTGTTAGCACTAGGTCATGGATGGTGTGTTTCATTAAAGGCATTCAGTTCTTGATTGAGGGATATACATTGGGAAGGGGCCTACTGTGAGTCAGCACCCACTCCCCCAACCAAGCTGCCAAACTAACCCTTACAAACCCTGTGATCCTTATCCCACTAATTTCACAAACCTCCCCCCCACCAAAAAAAGATTATTTATCTTTGGTCTGGGGTGCTCCATGATTCTGGGATGTGGTAGATGTCTTTGCCATGTCAGCCATAGTCTCTCCTGTGGTATTGCTGAACACGAGCTGTTAGATTCTAATCAAGATCCCACTAGGTCTTGATTCCAGGGAAGGCTCACTGGTGGTTTCACTGCTGCCTGGTTGGCTTGAGATTCGGTGAAAAGAGCCAACACTAGTGTCTCATTGGTTGTCGAGCTGCCAGGTGAGTCCTCTGACACTTTAGAAAGATAATAGTAATGTTTTCATAACATCTAACCAACAAGAAGGTAAGCATCCTAATTTGAATTATAAACCATATCCATGCATCTCATAACATTTTGGAAAACAGCTATAACACTTATCTAATATTTTCCAGATGAAGCAACAATTTACCTACACTCCAATCAATTTAGTCTACTGTATTCACTGCTCGCAATGTCATCTCCTCGACACTGGGGAGATAAAACACAGACTGCATGACCACTTTATGGAATATTTACGTTCTGTTTGTAAAAATGGCCCACAGCTTCCAGTTGCCTGTCACTTTAGCACACGGCTGTATTCCATAGAACATAGAACAGTACAGCACAGTACAGACCGCTCGGCCACAATGTTGTGCCGACCTATTATCCTACTCTAAGATCAAACTACCCTGCATACCCTACATTTTACTATCATCCATGGCCTATCCGAGAGTCGCTTAAATGTCCCTAATGTATCTGACAGTGTTTCCCTGCCAGTGTTTCTGTCTTGGGCCCACTGTAGTACTCCAGCAAGGCTCCAGCTGGATGAACAACACCTCATCTTCTGCCTGGGGATTTTATAGCCTTGAAGACTCAATATTAAGTTCAACAAGTTTAAAGCATGAACACCTCCTTTCATGTCAATTTCCACACCAACCCCAACCCTGATGACTATGCCACCCACCCCGCCCCCACCAACACACACCCCAAGTCCTGTCATGAAATAGGTTGTTTTCAGCACAGCCAACCCATTTTAAACTACTCATAGTCCATATTATCACATATCTAGTTTTCTCCTCCTCCCTGACTTACTATGAACTATCCCTTAGCTTAACTTCTCTCTCTCTCTCTCTCTCTCTCTCTCTCGCTTCCCACCCCCCAAACCTCTCTGGGAGCTCAGTCTATCTCTCTCAAGTCTCCCTCTCTGTCCTTTCTTTCAGGGGCTCCCTCTCCACCTATCCACTCACTGCCCCTCCCCCCAAGCTTTCCATCATCAGCATAACTACCAGCTTTTCCTAGCTGCTATCAGTTATGAAGGGTCTAAGTCAGTCTAAGGGCAGAAATGCTTGCTATGTCATACTCCATCCCAAAAGAATAGAAATAAGAGAACAATACAGGGTCAACAGATATGATAGGCAGGCCATGCAATGCAATTTATGAACTTCAAACCAGCAGACATGGGACTATAAAATTCTGCACAACATCTTTTATACTTTCGAATATTACATTGGATTCTTGTCCTAGCAGAAGAGCTACTTCAGAAATTAGGAAGCATGGATGGAGGTTTTCATTTATTGTTCTATAGCTTTCTTACTGCCCACAATAATACATTGCATTTATGTAGCATCATTAATGTGGTATAACATCTGAAGGCTCTTCAGAGATAAATTACGGAACAGATGTTGACACTAAGCCCTAAAAAGATATATTATGCCAGGTGACCAAATGCTTGATTAAAGGGAATGTTTTGAAGAGTGACTTACAGGAGGAAAAATTAGGAGAGTCAAATCCAGAATTTGAGACTAGGCAACTGAAGGCGTCGCTGCCAACAGTAGTGGAGTTCAAACGTTTCTAAGGAGAAAGTGGAATTTATTTTCAGAGAATGACACTTCCATATCTAACCTTAGTTTTAGTTGATTCTTTCTTTAGATAGGGCAGGAAGTCTGTCTGTTGTGATATCTTCCCTTCATGGGAACAATTTACCATATTTTTTTCAAATTTCGTATGATATCACTTCATATTAGTTGTAAGCCTGTTACAATGTTAGAAGTTTAAATAAGTATTTTTTTTTAAATTTTAAAACTACTTATTGTCTGCAGAACCATGATTTATTTTTACTTGGTATGGACAATCTGCATATTTACATTTTGGCACAATTTAGAAGGTTCTGGCACCACTTTATAGACCTTGAAAATATCTGGCTTGCCCAGGATACTTACGTAGGTATTTTTTCCAGATGTTACAGTAATATATTTTCTTCAAATAAAATGTTTGGTTCTGATTTAATACACAGAAAATAAATGCTGGAACCAACTGCATAAAGGAAATAGTTGAATAAACCAGAAGGTGATTTAATTATATTTTCATGCTTTTCTTTCTGTTCTTTTTTTTAAAAGAGAAGTGCGGCTGAACCCTCAGGCTATAAAGAATGACGTGCAACTGCTCCAGTCCTTCTCTGGAGAAGGAGATCTGACTGTTTTAAAATCGATCAACTACACATCAGGTATTCACATGGAGAATTAACTCAAATAGAAATTGCCACATAAAGGGTTACGTATTGAACCATGAAAGTAGTGCATTTTAAAAACATATTCGTTATCTTTGTATGATTATTTTCTTACAGAATATGAATTTTCTAATGGATGCAGAGCCCCACCATGGAGACAAGTATATGGAGATATTTGCTACCTGATTATTAATACTCATGATACTGAAACTTTGTATGTTACCTGTAACACAGCTGGAGTTTACCTGAATGGGGTGAGTACTTAAACTGAAATGAAAGGTACTTTTGTGATTTTTTTTATTTATCACATAATTTAATTAACAGAGATAATGTATTATTATAATGTAATAATACATTAGTAAATATTTCATACTTCTTTGCCAGTTTTGTATTGTGTCTTAAACTTTTATTCTTTAGGGTCTGGTAAAGGATAGTGAAGATATTATTTATGACAGAAGTGGTGATATCTACAAGGATCTTATTACATTCCTTAAGGAAAAATCTCCAATATTTGCAGAAAATCTTAATCGGGTTCAACAGGTAAACAAAATTGAGAGTATTTTTCATGACATTGTCTGTCAGCCAGAGAGTCCAACATTGTATAATAAAACAGTTTGAATTTTACATTGATATTGCTGTCTACATAATTTGCATTGGGTGGTCTGTAAATAATTATTGACTCAGAAGTATTGAATAAAAAATTTGTAATTGTACCACATTTTTCTAAAAATCTCAAAATTTATCAAATTATAGTTTTTTGATATTATTTTTTAAAAGCACTTTTAAAAATTCCTTTATTTAATGATCAATGGAAAACAAGATAATTCTAAAAAGAATCAGCAAAAATCAAACCTTGCCATGTCCAACAGATTGAAACTTTAAAAAAAAGTTTACGCTGATCATCTCATTTTTTATTTGAGGACCTTGCAGCCTTCAGAACACAACACTGAGTTCAATTATTTTAGAGCCTGACTACCTCCTTTCACGTCCTTTACACGGCCTTCACAATCCAAGTCCTCTCATGACATGGGCTGCTTTCAGCACAGCCAACCAATTTTCACCTACTGATGGTCCCCATTATCAGCTTCTTTTCCTCCCTGGCCAACTATCAACAAGAACTTTACCTGCCTAACTTTCTTCCTCTCTGGGCTCTGCCTCCACCCATCCACTCACTCTTTTATCCCCTCTCGACCACCTGTCATCAGTACATATGCCACTTTTTTCCTAGCTACTATTAGTTCTGATGAAAGGTCACTAGGTTTGAAATGTTAATTGTGCTTTCTCTCCACCGATGCTGCCAAGCCTGTTGAGTTTCACCAGCAATTTCTGTTTTTGTTTCAGACCTTCTGCATCCACGGTTTGTTTTAATCCAACATTTCTTCTTCTATTCTTCATCCTAAATTTGAGGTGACTGTTGGAGGGCCATCCTTAATTAAACATATTACACAGTCACATTTATGTAGCTTCTTGTCCTTCTTGAATATTATGTTCAGGATCCAATCCTGTCATCATTCACACATTTCAGCATTGGCTATCAACTTGTATTTATTTATTTCAGTGTGTGCTATCAGTTTGTTTATTTTGTGTAAATGTTCAATGAATTCAGATCCTGAGCTTTTAGTTTTTGTACTTTTGTAATCTTTTTAACATCTAGTTGTAAACATTGATGTACACTTAATTTTATTCTTGCCGTCTTTTCCTGCCATTCTATCTTCTACATTTCTGATCATTTTAATAATTTTGCTCCCTTGCCTTAACTCTCGACCTTGATTTTTTTGCATCTACCCAAGCTTGATTCCTCATACCTATTGTTCAGATTAAAGCTCTCTCTGCTTCCGTCGTTATAGGATTCACTAGAACACCAGTCCAAGCATGGTTCAGGTATAGATTGTCCTAGTGGTACAATTCCCACTTACATCAGTACTGACATCAATGTCCCAAAAACTGGAACATCCTTCTACACTAGACTCTGAGCCATGTATTAATTTCACTGATCTTATGTGCTGTACACCACTTGCATGAGTCTCTAAAAATTAGGGAGAGACTATTACCCTTGAGGGTCAGCTCATCAATTATTTGCCCAGCTCCTCATACTATTTAAACAGAAATCCCTTTCATAGTCGTACATATACCATTGACACTTATGTGGACCATTCCTATTCAGCACTGAGCAAATCACCCAAGCCATGAAACCAAGTGGGAACATAGCCTTCTGAATACATGCTCTTTTGACTGCACTGAACTGTGTGTGTCCCTCTCACCATACTATCTCCCATGACCATTACATTATAAACATAGGAAATAGAGCAGAAATAAACCATTTTCCCATCCCCACCTGTGCATGCTTCGCCATTTGATAAGATCACACTTAGGTGTTTGTCTTCAAATTAAGTATTCCTTAATAACCCTGATCAATCCTTAATTCCCTTGCCTAACAAGAATCTATCTACCTCTGCCTTAAAAATGACAATGACCCTGCTTCCATTGCCTTCTGAAGCAAAGAGTTCCAAAGTTGATCAGCCCTCTGAGAGGAGACTTCTCTTCTCTGTCCTAAAGAAATTGACATTTTAAAACAATGCCCCCTAGTTTTGGACTGACTCTCAAGGGGAAACATTCTTTCCATGTCCACCTTGTGAACATTCAGAATCTTGTACACTTCAATCAAGTCAACCCTCACCCGTTTAAACTCAAATGGCAACAAGCCCAGCTTGTCCAACCTATCCTCATAAGACAACCTGTTCTTTCCAAATGTCAATCTAGTAAACAAAAACAGAAATTGCTGAAAAGCTCAGCAGGTCTACCGGCATCTGTGGAGAGAAATCAGAGTTGACATTTTGGGTAGAGTGTTCTGAGGAAGGGTCACTCGACCCGAAAAGTTGACTCTGATTTCCCTCCACAGATGCTACCAGATCTGCTGAGCTTATCCAGCAATTTCTGTTTTTGTTTCTGATTTACAGTATCTGCAGTTCTTTCAGTTTTTATCGATCTGGTAAATATCCTCTGAACCTCCTCCAATGCACTTACATTCTTACTTAAATGAGACTAGAACTGCATACGGTATTTAAGATGTGATCGCACCAAGATTCTGTAGAAGTGAAATATAATATTGTTATTTTCAAGGTTCAATTCCATTTGTAATAAAGAATAGTATCCCACTGGACTTGCTTACATGTTGTATCTGCATACTAACATTTTTTGACTCATGCACCAGAACACCTTGACACTTAGGTACCTCAGAATTGTGCAGACCATTTCTTTATGTAGTACTGTGCTTTTTCATTTTTTCTGCCAAAGTGAACAATTTCCTATTTTCCCATATTATACTCCATCTACCAGATTATTGGCCACACTGTTAACCTGCCTACATCTGTTTGCAATTTCCTTTTGCCTTATTCACAACATACATTCCTGCCTATCTTGGTGTCACCTGCAAATTTAACTGCCATGCCTTCACACTGCACTTCGAAGTTATTAATGTAACATGTAAATGGTTGAAGCACCTGAACATACCTCTGTTGAAAACAAAAACAGAAAATGCTGGGAAAACTCAGCAGATCTGGCAGCATTTGTGAAGAGAATGCAGAATTAATGTTTCAAGTCCAGTGACCCTTCTTCAGAAATAATTGTAGCTAGGAAAAGGTTGGTGAAATGTGCTGAAGATGGGTTGGGGGAGGAACAAGAGTAAGCGACAAGTGGAGTTAAAGCCCAGAGAGAGAAGAACAACAGCTGGACAAACATAGGATTGGGTAAAGTTCAGCCTTGGGGAATTAATAGCAGCTAATTGGGACCATTGACAGCTGACTGTGTGGTGGATGGCTTTGATTGCAGCTCATGTGACGACAAGGCCTAGTGCGTGGGGGTTAAGGTAAGGACATTGGAGAAGATGCTCAGGCCCTAAGAGTATTGAACTCGATATTGAGTACCAAGGCTACATGGTCCCAGAGTGGAAAATGGGATTACATTCTTCCAGCTTGCACAGAGCTTCACTGGAGCACTGCAGCAAGCCCGAGACAGAGATGTTGGCCAGGGAACACATTGGTGTGTTGAGGTGGCATACAACAGAAAGTTCAGGTTTATTTTTATGGACAGAATGTAGGTGTTCTGCAAAATGGTCGTCCAGTCTGCGTTTCGTCTCCCCAGTGTTGGGACACCACACTGTGTGCAGCGAATACAGTAGACTAGATTCAGTGAAGTGCAAGTAAATCACTGCTTCACCCGGAAGGTGTCTCTGGGGCCTTGGATAATAAGAAGGGAGGAAGTAAATGGGCAGGTTTTACACCTTCTGCGATTGCATGGGCATGTGCCATTAGGCTGCGGGAGGTGTTTGGAGTGGAGGAGGAGTGGACCAAATTGTCCTTGGAGGGAACAGTCCCTGTGGAAGGCTGACAAGGGAAGGGAGGGTAATATGTATCTAGTGGTGGCATACTGCAGAAGGTGGTGGAAGTTATGGCTAATGATCCTTCGGATGTTGATGCTGGTGGGTTGGTAAGTGAGGACCATGGGACCCTTTTGCTCTTGTGGGAGGACAAAGAAGGTTGAGGAAGAAAGTGGACATTTTGGAGGCCTCTTTGTAGAAGTTGGCATCATCAGAACTGATGCGATGCAGATGGAGAAACTGACAGAGTGGAATATAGTCATTACAGGAAACAGGGTGTGAGATATGGTCAAGGTAACTATGGTGAGGCACAGTCCATTCTTGAGGAAGGGTCACCGGATCCGAAACGTTAACTCTGTTTTTTCCTTCACACATACTGCCAGACCTGCTGAGCTTTTCCAGCAACTTTGTTTTTGTTCCTGATTTATAGCATCCGCAGTTCTTTTGATTTTTATGGGAGTTTGTGCGTTTATAATGAATATTGTTGGATTCAGCTGGTCACATTCTACAATCAGATAAAGATCCATTTATACATACTGTTTTCTGCCTGTCAGGCAATCTTCCAACCATGCCACTTTGTTGTCCCTTAAAACTGTATACTTCTAATTTCCACAGTAACCTTTGTGGCATCTTTGCAAATGCCTTCTAGAAATCCAAATTTAGTATATGTACAGGCTCTCTTTAGCAACAGTGCATTTTACTCTTTCAAAGAACTTGAATAAATTGGTTAAAAATGATTTCCCTCTGAACAATCTATGCTGACTCCTCCCGATTACTTTGATCCTTTTTCTAAGCGAGCAGGTATAACCTCTTCGATTGATTCTAACAATTTCCCCATGCCAGATGTAAGGATAACTGGACTATAGTTTCTTGTTGTCTGCTTCATTTCCTTCTTGAATAGAGGGGTTTTATTTGCTACTTTCCAGTTTGATGAAACCTTTTGTGTGCTTAGGGAATTTTGGAAAAATAATACCAGTACATCTTCTACTTGATTAGAAACCTCTTTTAAGACATTAAGGTGAAATCCGTCTAGATCTGGAGCCTTGGCTTGTTTGCTTAGTTCTGCTTCTTGTGTGATTGTAATCTTGCTGAGTTTTTCTCTCTCCCTTCCACCTTCAATTTGCAGCTATTACCAGAATGTACTTTTTGCATTCTCTTTATTGAA